AGTCAGTCAAGCCTTGTTTCCAGACAAACTTTTGGCGTTGTTGGAACTGTGTTAACGAATTTACAAACTTACTCCCCGGGGTCTCAGATGACCGTTGGGGCACCAAGGATGATCAGGCAACCACTTTTCTCCCTCCGTCTTTATTTTCAGTCTTTCGAAGGGCTTCCCCCAATTTAAACCTGTCCATTCCGTTATGTTGTTTTCCAATCTCTTTTTCTGTCTGCCTTTCCTTCTCCCCCTTGTACAGTGCCCTGTAGGATCATCATTGCAAGTCCTGTTGATTTTGTTACGTACCCATACCATCCCAGTTTGTGTTTTTTCACAGTGATGAGAAGATCTTCATACGGCCCAATGGCATCCCTGATTCTGTTCCTCACTTTGTCATGTAACATGATCTATGTAGGAGATGCCCTACAGTCTTTTAAAGCATCTCTTTTCTGTAGCTCGTATCTTTCTCTCTAACTCTGCTGTTAGCGTCTATGTCTCACAAGCGTAAAGGAAGATTGAGCAAATTAACGTACATGCTTGTAAATGCTTTAAAAAATGTGACAAATTCTCTTCAGCCAGAATCGGTCTCTGTGCCCGTAGCAGGGTCCACAAATCTTCTTAACCGCTTAACCCTTATTTCCTTTTATAATGCTGAAACGATCTTCGCTGGTCATCTTCAGACATTGACGGACGAACTAGTACGTGTTGTTGTTATTGTTGTTGCCATCACTGCACGCTTTTACCTAACCAACGGACTGCAAGATAGATAGATAGACAGATAGATAGATAGATAGAGAGATAGATAGATAGATAGATGAATGGATGGATGGATGGATTGATGGATAGATGGATGGATGGATGGATAAATAGATAGATAGAAATATATATATAGAGGGGGGAGAGAGAGAGAGAGAGAGAGAGAGAGAGAGAGAGAGAGAGAGAGAGAGAGAGAGAGAGAGAGACTCTCAAACAAATATTTTTACTAACCTAATCTTTACCTGTAAGCCATGAATTGAAGTTCGCCAAGTAAGTTATTCTTGGTCAAAATTTTCCTGTTCCACTTTCTGTCTGTGTAGTTTTTATAAATACATGTAATCTTAGAAAGACGGTGTTCGTAACCATAGCATATTTCCAAACCGTCTCCCCTGGGTGCTCTTGCACAAATTATAGGCGCACAGATTCTACAGCCGTTGTTACAATACCAAACGTCCAGTCTAGAAGACAAGGATTCGCGAGACAACAGCACGCTGACGTCACTGAAGGCATCTCTCGCGCTCCTCGTCACTTCCGGCATCATTTGTTCCCAACTTCACAGTGGGTCTGATAGATACGAAAATATCACAGCATCACACCATTTTATGTATTATTATTATTATTATTATTATTATTATTATTATTATTATTATTATTATTATCATTATATATTATTGTAATGTATTTGGAATATTCCATTTGACTGTATTGCTGAAAAACAGGAAAAAATAGGTGTTGGTCTCGGTTAGGTCCTCTTTTTAAGGTAAGCTTTTTTTTCAATCGTTTTTCATCCATAACATCATGTCTCCTCAAACCCAACCCCTCCCTCCATTTTGAATCCACAGAGTTAGATGCCTCTAGTAGGTCATAGAAATTCAAATGGAGACATTTATTAGACATTTACCTAACGATAATCGTGAAATCTTACATTTTTGTTTGATGAAAAAGATTAATAAAAGAACACAGTTGAACCTGTCCAAAATGGCCAATCATCAGTTGTCGAGGAAGAATATTCTCATTTTAGACAGGTCGTGGTCCTCTAGGACAATGTCTGCATAGTATGGAAAAAACGTTGTTGGTGTTTTTTTAAGGGGGGGGGGGGAGGTGGTCGTTTGTACAGTTGAATATTTTGGACGAGTGTCCGCTAGATCAGGGTCAATTTTATAGTTATGTTTTATATCGACTATCGACAGACTTTTCCCTTGGTGGGTGGTTGAAGGGCACCACTGGAAGGTCCTATTTCTTTACTTTCCCTTTGTTGTTTCTGTCTGCTGTCTTCTTACTTTTTCTCTGTGCTAAATCACCATTATTGTGTCAATATGCTTCCCTTTACGCAAACTCAGACCCTTTCGCTTGTTGATTGATTGTTCATGCTCAAAATGTGGCGCTTTGCGAACGCACGCATGAGACTCGAGTTCAATCCCTGAATGGGAAGAATCTTTATAGAGTGTCTCGGTTTTTCTGCTGGGAGGTTGTATCCCTCTCTGCCCAGGCTGGCCCTGACAGGCAGGATCAAAGCCTGCCTCCTAAATTATCTAAATTGTATCGACAGGGGCGTAAAATCATCTTCCACCTCTCCCCCTCCCCCTCATCCACCCCCACCCCATGCTTTTCTCTGCCAGAATCGATCTCATTAGCTGTAGCCAATGATAGTACATAACAAGATGGGCCACTTCTCTCTTTGAGCCAATTAAAAAAGTGTCCTCAAAATTTGGTGGCGCCCTCTTCACAAAAGCGCACTCTTTGCGAACAGAGTTAA